AGGGCTGTCAACAGGAGCATCGAAATGGATCCCAGATTAACGACTGCAGAAGTGGGCAAAGTTGGTGGGATGAGCCCGAAATCTGTTCAATGGATTCTCCACAGATTGGGTTATTGTTGCAGAGCAGCTAGAGGGAAGCCCTTATTAAAACCTGCCAACATAGTCAGACGAAAGAAGTGGGCAAGTGATATGATGACCAAGCCTCTGGACTTTTGGAAGACCGTATTGTTCTCAGACGAATCAAAATTCGCTCAATTTTCGAACAGTGGAAGGATATGGGTCTGGAGAATGCCTCACCAAGAGTTTTGGCTCAACAGATTGCAGCCAACTGTGAAGCATGGTGGTTTCAGCATGATGGTTTGGGGAGCTGTTTGGGTTGGTGGGAGATCGAGCTTAGTGAAGTGTGTTGGCAACATAAATTTTGCGAAATACGTCGAAATATTGGAGGAAGGACTCTTGCCACTTTATTCCTCAGGTTTCGTGGACAAGAACACAATGTTGTTCCAGGAAGATGGAGCACCGTGTCACACTGCTAGAAACACCCAAAAGTGGCAGAAAGACAATGGTATCCAGAAGTTGCCCTGGCCGAGCCAATCTCCTGACATGAACCCCATCAAAAACCTCTGGGCCATACTCGACCGACAAGTCAAGAAACAACCAACAAAACCAACTTCGAAGAGCGATCTACTCCAGGTTTTGAAGCAAGAGTGGGCAAAAATCCCACAATCTAAAATGGATGAGATGATTTTCAAGATGCCCCAAAGGATCAATGAACTCCATGAAGCGAAAAGAAGATCTACTAGATATTAATTAAATTATAAATATATCAATTCATGTGAATATGACTGAAAAATTTCATTTTTTCTTAAAAGGTGGTGTCTATTTACTTGTGACCATGCTGTGTATATACCCATTTCAATTGTAACAATAATTTGAATTGTGAAAACCTACATATATCACCTTACATTTTGGATAATTAAACATCATCTGCCATGTATTGCCCCAAAGCATCAAATGATCTAAATTTCCCTGTAAGTCTGCAGTATCTTTGAAACATTTAGCCACCCCAAAAATCTTAATGTCATCTGCACACTTTGTTTGTCATTTCAGAATCAATACCATTAATATAAATCACAAACAGCAGAGGATCCAACACAGACCCCTGAGGAACATCACTTGTGACTGTGATCCAGTCAGATCTAACTATTTATTTAGCACTTTCCGCTTTCTACTCTCTAGCCAATTTTCTATCCAATTTAATAACATTCCCTTCACACCCACAGATTTAAATTTTGTAACAAGTCTTTTGTGAGGCACCTTATCAAATGCTTTCTGAAAATCAAGGTAAACCAAATCCACAGTATTTCCTTCATCAACTCTTGCAGTAACATCCTCAAAGAATCTTGGAAGATTTGTTAAACAAGACTTTCCTTTAGTGAAACCATGCTGAATCTTTGACACTATATCAAACTGTTTTAAGTGTCTCTGCAATGCATCTTTAATCACACTTCCCAAAAATCTTTCAAACTACTGATGTAAGACTAACTGGCCTATAATTGCTTGGACAATGATTATCACATCCTTTAAATATTGACTAACATTAGCCAACTTCCAATCTTCTAATACTCTTCCACTACTCGGTGACCTATAAAAATATATTAGCTAGCAGTTCACAAATAAAATCTTTTTAGTTCCTTTAAAACTCTAAGATAAAAGTTGTCTGGTCTAGGGGATTTATAAATTTTTAGGTTTCCCAACTTTTCTCTTACAATTTCAGAACTTAAAATGACATCTTTTGCATCAATATTTTCCCCATACATTAAGCATAATGTGGTTGAGGCATATTACTTGTATCTTCCTTTGTAAAAACTGAAGAGAACATATAATTATAATAATAATATATTAATAAGTTTACCATCTCGTAATCTTCCAAGATCAGCTATCATTTTTAAGATGCCCAATCCCCCATCCTAACATTTTGTAAACCCATCCTATACCTAAAGAGTTTCTTATTGTTTGATTTAACTCTGTCAGCCAATCTTATTTCATATACAGTTTTGGCCCTTTTAACTTCCTTTTTAACCAATATTCTTGATTTCCTATAGTCCTCCAAGTCTGTATTATTTCCAGTTAGTTTTCAGTGCACAATTTTTGTATTGATTTGTAAAATAGTGTGCAATAAATGTCTAGAATTCTACCTTAGAGAAACTGGAATAAAATTAGAAACCAGATTCATTAAACGTAATAAAAAAAATCATCCCATGTTTACCACCATTGCAACTCAAAAAATTCACAGTATATCTCTACAAAACACTGTAATTTTAAACAAAGAACCAAACATCAGAAGCTGCTTATCTTAATTGAACAAAACGGCCCCATCCTAAACCAAAATTTCACTTTGAAACTTGGATCCATTGATCCCAGCTCTGAAAAGAGACCTATCTGCGAATTTAAAAGAAGCAGTAATAAAATAAGAATAAATATCTGAATTAAATTATTTCTAGACTCTAGCCAGTATGTAATAAGGTAATCCTCTCTGAATACAAAATGTAATATGTTGCATTAAAACAATTTCAAGTTGACTAAAGAAAAAAAAATTCTGAAATTTCCATGTTTCTTTATTTTGTCACAACTTTGGTCTTTATCAATGCCCATGTCACATTTCTATATAAACACTTCAAGCCTTCTTCTTCACAATGACTTCCTGTTCTCAGCTTGAGGCAGTCACAGCTTTCCCGGATGCCTTGAGGCATTTCATTAGCCTTGCTTACTGCACAGATTAGTCGAGTCTGTCACTCAGTAAACTGTGAGTTAATAATCTTTACACCCCACTAGTAAATTCTAATCAAATTAGGTAACTAGCTCAAAATATACTACATTCACTAAAAGAATATACCTTAATTCCATGAGCAGGGTAAAGACAAACAACAGCTTCTGACTGCCCCTGGTTACTTTTCAGGTTTTTAAACCAAAATACCTATGTGTATGTACCAAGGAGTTTAACTTGAACACCCCAGGGTACCAAAATACATACACTAAGCTGTGAAGCAATATCTGGTCATATGACCTCCTTGTTCTATAATATATAGACTGTGTTCATGTGTCTCTATAAATTACATTATTGATAAGAAGAAAAGTTGTTATATAGAGGTCATTATTTGACCTTTCGTCCAAAAATCATGGTCGTATGTTGCAACTGTCAGATCAATGTAAAATCATTCTGTGCACAGAAAAAAAGTCGTATTTAAAAGGAAGTTGTTATTGGGAGGGGGTCGTATCCACCAGGGATTACTGTATTCCCTCTTCCTCACTCAGTTTGCCTCTGGATCTCCACCTCCATGCAGTGGGTCCTGGAGGTTGATGTTGTGCCCAGGTTCTGGGAAGTTCTATCCAGGTGGTGAGGTTGATTTATATTTCTAGTGGCAGCTTACTTCCTTGCAGTGGGACCCATGATGTGATATTGTGCTCTGGCTTCTGTGCAGTCTTATCCAGAGAATGATGTTGATCAGGGTGATGGTTCTTCATCATGCACTCCACCTCAGGATGTTTTAACTGCCTGAGGCTGGTGTTGTGCGGTGGGGTGCCAGTCTGTTAGAGTTTGAGTTTGATGTGACCTGCCACATGGGCACATCTCTTTCTACCATCATTTGGATGTTGGGTTCCTTAATGTGTGGTTGGTTGTGGATTTGTGCACACGTGCCCGTTTCATAGATTAGTTAGCACAGTATATCCTTCTGTTCTACTTAACTTGAGGTAAAGATGGCGTTGACCCCTTCTCCTACCAACGGGTTGGAGGTTCTATTCCCTTTACTGCTTAGTTTTGGACTGGAGTTGACTGGCTGCATACAGCCCATCACGCCCTAGTCACACCTTGGAGCACTTCCATTTCAGCTTGCCCCACATTCCTGTGTGTAGATGGTTCTTCTACAGTTTTTCCTCTATGGGATTGAGCTTCCAATATACTGTGAATTGGATTTTGAATCAACTGGTTGTCTCTCCATTTTGGTTGTGCTCTTTCCACTGTCTGGCCAGGTATGTGACAACTATTTCCATACTGGCAGGGATCACACTCCAACTGTATTCTTAGATACTTTTGAAGGAGGTCATGTGCTGTATCGGAGGTTATTATTTTCCTATACTGAAAATATATTTCTGATAAGTACCTACCTCCTCTCACACTTCCTGCCCTTCCTCCCCACTGAAAATTGGTGCTTTTTTTTTCTACCTAATCTTGAAGTGATACTTTAATAGAATCAAAAAGGGGGAATCATGTGCGTTAGGAGGGTGTGTCACACTCCTACAGGTGAAAGGTTGTTGCATGATGATTTATATGTGAGATGCAGTTGAACCACGTTGATCATGGAGTGCTTGGAAATTCAAGGCTTTGGGCATGCAAAAAAATTTTGCATATAGATGGCAGCACTAAACAAGAATATCTATACATGTGAGTGGAGGTAAATACCTATCAGAATTATATTTTCATTATAGGAAAATAATAACTTTCTGGCTTTCTATGTGACAAGAGGCATTAAACCTTCATCTAAGCTTATCAATGAGTTTTCTGTGGGAATCAAGCTTGAATTGAAAGTTTTGTCACCATAAAATAAACTTCTTCATTGGTGTAAGTTATTTGACAGACAAATACTAGGTTAAAAATTAAGACTAGAAAATATATATCTCATCCACTATGAATAAATCTTTCTTTCATATATCTTAGGTTTCTTACAAGCTTTTACAGGGTTATAATTTTTTATTTTCTAACTTGGAATGGTATTGTAAGTACTTCTTGTTTTGTAAAAAGTAATACATTAAAATATTAACATATTTAGTTTTTGTTGTTTTATCTAGGTGGTGAAAATTGAGTGGAAAGAAAAAACCAAGATGAAACAGCAGAGATGCTTTAATTTTCTCTTTGAAAAGTTTAAAAAATACTACCTTCCTCATATCTTTCCAAAGTTTTCCTGGGATGCAAGCATTTACAAACCCAAATTAGGTGTGTTTCTTTCAATTTAGCAGTATTTGTTTGTGACAAAAAAAGATGTGTTTGTAAACTTTCACCTATTGGTCTTGTTTTTGTGATATCATTAACAACTCTTTCACTGCCATCGGCACATCTATGTCCCCTTCTAGAGCACATGTTTGTTTTAGCCTTGAAAAGTGTGATATTAAGTATTTGTTCTGAGAAGTAGGTATGCAGTAAAATTAATGATTTAATATTAATAACCAATAAATTCACAAATTTTGCATATTTATAAATTTTTGGGATAAACATCAATGAATATCTCATGTAATATTTCTTACAAACTGAGAATGGTTATCTGAATTATCTCTTAAAAACGTTCATAGTGGTATAACAGTAATGAATGAGATAAAAGTAATTATACAACACTGCATGTTTACTGTTTGTATTTTTAAATAAACCTGGTTCTGGGAGAGTTATCTATAAATGTGGCATTGAAGGAGTTAATCTGGTTATGTCATACAGGAGTAAAATGAGTTTCTTGTATGTTATTGTTGTACAATAAATATGTATATTATGGTAATTATATTAAAATTGTTTTTTTTTATAAAATTTTGTGTGTACATTAACATTGGATAAAATTCAGTTTTTGCATTATACTAAGAACTTGCACTTTTCAGAACTCCCAGAATTAAGGCAGGAACAAGGTAACCAAACACTTAACCCTTCTGATACCTTAGCTCAGTGCCAAGCAGTGATGGTTCGATGGGTAGCAAACTATACCCACTACATAAAAAAGAATGATTCTTCAAGCACTTTAACTTTTCGGGACCAGAGGTACCACTTTATTTTCATGTTATTTGTTATGAGTAGTAAATATGTTCTAAATAATCCTAGGTTAAATAGTTTGAATGGCTGCTGCTGTGCTATTGGACTTTCTCTAGTACTAGTAAGATTTTTTAAACCATTTTTACCAGTTACAGTAAAAAATACAGCCATTGGAAGTTTTGAAGTTGCAGTTTTTCTTAATTTGATGGATTTCATTATTATATTGAAGAAACAAATGATAGATGCATTTTTCAGTCTATCTTAAAATGTCACAGACAGGTATACACTTGGTTGAATCACTTTTTGTATGTAATTTTAGAATTGCTATAGTTTTGCCATAAATATTTATTTAAAAATTCAGAATAAAGACATCTGTCATACAGTTACACAGGGCCTATTGACCTGTTTATTTTGTTATAAAGAGCTAAGGTTTTCTTTCAGACTTTCTTTTTTTTGGGGATGGGGGTGGGGGAGGAATTTATATGGTGACTTATGTGGCATGGGGCATTTGAGTGCTGAAAGCACAGTATGTTTAAAAACAAGAATGTCTAAAATAGTACAGTTTTAAGGGTAAAACTTGTTATAAAACAAGGTGACTGGAAATATTTTTTCATATTAAAACCGGCCTGGCATGGCCAGGTGGATAAGGCACTCGACGTGCAATCTGAGGGTCGTGGGTTCGAATCCCCATCCTACCAAACATGCTTGACCTTTCAGTTGTGGGGGAGTTGTAATGTTATGGTCAATCCCACTATTCGTTGGTAAAAGAGTAGCCCAAGAGTTGGCGGTGGGTGGTGATGACTAGCTGCCTTCCCTCTAGTCTTACACTGCTAAATTTGGGACGGCTAGCGCAGATAGCCCTCGAGTAGGTTTGTGCGAAATTCAAAAACAAACAAACAAACATATTAAAACCTTGCATGTGGTTGTTAGTTAATTCCTGTGTATTTATAAGCTTAAGTTATACTTGTTCATCAGTTTTATAAGGAGCACTATAATAATACCAAATAAGTATTATATTTTGTAGTATCGTAAGAAATAATTTATCTTTACTATTGTAATATTATTTGTCTTTAAAACTGATAAAAATAGTAAGTATATTTCAGTGAGGCTTGCTGTAGTTATATATTTGAAGCTTAAGAATTAAACAAAGTATATCACATATATTACAGCAGCAAAAGTGACTCATTAGAAGCTGCTTGCGAATGCACCTCATGAAAATTTATTATTATTATTATTCCTTATTTTACCTAATCTAACCTTATGTAATGAAAAAAGTTTTCAATGTTTACGTTTTAGTTACTTTTATAATAACAAAATATAAAAAAATAAATAAAAAACAAGAAATATAGGTCCTTGTGTTTTTGGCTCTTGACTGTCAATGGCACTTAACCATACTTTTTTTAACTAATGGTACTAATGCACTAAATAATTTTTTATTTAATTAAATAATGTACTAGAGAATGCAGAATAATAACATGCAAAAAGCAGACAATGTCCCATAACTATTGCAATTTTTCTGGCTTTCCAATTCTGTGATAAGAGCTGTTAAAAATTTCTCTATGCTTATCAATCTGTTTCCAATGAGAATAAAGCTTGAACTAAAAGTGAAATTTACAATTCTCTGTACAAAAAATATTTTAATATAATACATCAATTGATACATTAAAACTTGGCTTTCTGTTGACTATAAATAATATTAAAAGTCAGAGAGCACTATTGGCAGTTTTTGAAAGACGATGTGACAGGTAGGTGTGTCAAAAGGGGTCTGATTTTCTATTTTATTGCTCTGTAACTAAATAAGATTGAAGGCTATAAAAATTATGCTTTGCCCGAGCAATGATGACATTATAATGAGTAATTTACTTTTAATTTTGTACTTTTTTTTGGAGGAGTGGTAAATAAATTGGAGAAGAGGGGATGCCAAGAACGGAAATGTCACAATTCTCCTACAAGAGAAATTCAGTACTTTTTTAAATATTGCTTTATAAAATTAAGAACATAAAACTTGTATACTATTAAAATTTGCTTTGTTAGCTACATTTTTATGCCAAATTTATTTGTATACCATGATAAATAAATTGATTAATTAAATTTTGAATGTAACTTACTTAAACCTTATGACATGCATAAAAGATGCATTTGAAGAGAGGGTTAAAGTATTTGTTTCATTTTAGTACACTTATTTTTGACATTTTAAATGCTAAGTAATCCAGAAGCAATACTCATTACAATATACATCTAACAGTCTTATGAGTTTTCTCTGTTTAGGTAAATATATCATGCAAGTTTTCAAACAAATACAGTAATGGGAGAACTTGGAGAAAAAGATGATGAAAAGAAAAGCGTGTATGAGTTCTGTTCAGGAGGCAACTTTGAAATAACAATAGAAGATTTATCTTGAAAAAAATTACTCAGTGTGGTTAATGTACTAGACTGTGGATCTGAGGGTTTATAGTTTGCCAAAAAAAAAAGAAAAATTGCAAACTTTGGGGTTGTGGATGTATTTTGGGTTATAAAAGTGTCTGTCAAATATAACTTCTTGATTAGATTAGCTAAATTCATGAGAAACTGTCATTTTAATTATTTGACTTTTGCTTAACTCTCACGTGACCTTCTGTACATGTTTAAAGTTGACATAAATTTAATACTTATAACTCTCAATATATTGGGTATATCTTCATGAAATTTGGCAGTCTTTCAGTCTTTCACATACAAAAAGTCATATTTCTTAATGAAGTACTTTTAATAAAATAAAATAAAGTTTTGTCCATGAATATATTGAATATTTGTTTTGAATAGTTTGTGTGCAAAGTAATTTTCATGTTAAAATTAAGAATACTTTTCGCCATATCAAAAATCTCAAATTTCCTATGTGTAATCCCTAAAACCTCCTAAATGTATTTCAAACGTTTTTTTTTACTAAATCCTTATAGTTTATATGTTATTTTCTCTACCCTAATCTCAACACGGGATCGGTCAATTTGACCAACCTCATAACCACCCAAAAAAAATCGAAATAAACCTAAATTAACCGTCTTTTCTTTCTAATATGACTTCAAATTGTAACATGAAACATTCGTTTATCCTAAGTAACTCTAAGTTCGTAACATTATACATCTATTTATAATTAAAATTTATTGTTTTATTGCCCTTTGAATCGTGTCTAACTGCTATCTGCGCCATTATAAGTTGTAAATCACTCGGGGGAACGTGCAGCTCACGTTATGCTATCGAATTACATCACCCATGATGCTACTTGAACAATTTTAATTATATTATTATTATTTATTTTACCTGTTTGAGTCTTAAATAACTTAAAAGGATCTGTACTTTTAATTTTAGTTAATTTATAATAATAAATATAGAAAACAAGAAATAAAGTACTTACCCAATCTCCTTTTTTCTTGCCCTTGATTGTCGATGAGAGTTAAGCCTGAATTTTTTAGTGATTATAGTAAACCATTTAACAATTTTTATTTGATTAAATAATATATCAAAGAATATAGACTACTGACATGCAAAAAGTAGACAAATTCACTTCTAAAAATTTTCCTGACTTTCTAACTATGCGACAAGAGCCGTTAGAAATTCATCCAAGGTATTCGTTAACTTTCCCATGGGAACGATGTTGCTACTCAGAGTGACATTGACAGTTATGCAATATGCCATTTGATAGATGAAAACCTTGACTTTCTATTGGTTATGAATAATATATAATGAAATGTAAGAGAGAACTATCAACCACTTGTGAAAGAGTGGGTGTGGCAGGAGGGGTCTGATTTTCTCTTTGATAGATCTGTAACAAAACAAAATTGAAGGCCATTAATATTATGGTCTGTTTGAGCAATAATGATTTTATAGAGAGCATTTTACATTTAATTTTGTACATTTTCAAGGGGTGATGGATAAAATAGGGGGTGATGACATGCAAAGACAAAATTTTTCGTGTGTTACACTAGTGGAAATTCAGGATTTTTTTATATATTTCCTTTTTAGAATTAAGAACTTAAAACTT